AGAATCGTTACTGAGGGACACAGAATCGTTACTCAGGGACACAGAATCGTTACTCAGGGACACAGAATGTTACTCAGGGACACAGAATTGTTACTCAGGGACACAGAATTGTTACTCAGGGACACAGAATCGTTACTCAGAGGGACACAGAATTGTTACTCAGGGACACAGAATCGTTACTCAGGGACACAGAATCGTTACTCAGGGACACAGAATCGTTACTCAGGGACACAGAATCGTTACTGAGGGACACAGAATCGTTACTCAGGGACACAGAATTGTTACTCAGGGACACAGAATTGTTACTCAGGGACACAGAATCGTTACTCAGGGACACAGAATCGTTACTGAGGGGACACAGAATCGTTACTCAGGGACACAGAATCGTTACTGAGGGACACAGGGAACGTTACTCAGGGACACAGAATCGTTACTGAGGGACACAGAATCGTTACTCAGGGACACAGAATCGTTACTCAGGGACACAGAATCGTTACTGAGGGACACAGAATCGTTACTGAGGGACACAGAATCGTTACTCTGAGGGACACAGAATCGTTACTCAGGGACACAGAATCGTTACTGAGGGACACAGAATCGTTTACAGGGACACAGAATCGTTACTCAGGGACACAGAATCGTTACTCAGGGACACAGAATTGTTACTCAGGGACACAGAATCGTTACTCAGGGACACAGAATCGTTACTCAGGGACACAGAATCGTTACTCAGGGACACAGAATCGTTACTCAGGGACACAGAATTGTTACTCAGGGACACAGAATTGTTACTCAGGGACACAGAATCGTTACTCAGGGACACAGAATTGTTACTCAGGGACACAGAATCGTTACTCAGGGACACAGAATCGTTGAATTAAAGAGTATGTCAGACAACACGCAGAGGAGTGGCAGAGGAGGCAATGTTTCAGGAGCGAGCAGACGTGGCAGCAGAGGAAGGGGTCGAGGCAGCACTAGTCGCAGCCAGAGGCCAGTGCTCCCGGTGTCATCCAGCGGTCGTGTCTCCACCGACAACCCTGCCGTCATCGATTGGTTGGCTCGGTCGTCTTCCTCTTCCCAGGTCACCTCTGACACCTACAGCCAACGGTCGGTGGGTACGTCAGACACAACCGTTAGTTGGCATGGCCCGGGAGCAAGCCCACTGAAATCACGTGTCCTCTACCTGCCCCTGTCCTTTGGTGTTCCCTCACCAAGCGAAGTATCGCATGCTGTGGGCTCAGCCCCACTGTACAGTGAGGAAGAGCTAACAGAGGGCGGTCAGGAACGGGGGGAGACATCCGCCTCTTCAGCAGCCAGGCGAAGAAGTACTGGCGAGGAGAGTGGCTCGGTAGCCGGTCTAGAGACAGGTCTGTCTCCTGACCCACACGCAGCCGAGGGGGCTAGTAGTGAGGCGGAGACCCTAATTGATGATGATGAGGCTGATCGCACTTGGCAGCCTCGTCGTCATCAGGCTATTGCTTCCGCATCATCAGGAGAAGAGGGTGCCAGCTTGGCAGCGAGCAAAACAGTCGGTGGGTTGCCCAGGAGGCAGCAGGGTCGCAGCAGTGTCAGTGGAGGCAAACGGCCACGGAGTAGAGCACCAGCTCCACTGCAGCCTACCACCACGGCCAGTAGTGGTGCCGGTGTGCACGGAGGAAGTAGCAGTCAGCCAGTGAGGAGTAGCGGGGGCAAAGTTTCCTACTCGGCGGTGTGGCAATTTTTCGTCAAGCCGCCCGAGGAAGTAAACGTAGCCGTATGTCGACTATGTGGCCAGAAAGTCAAGCGTGGCCAGGGGCCCATGTTGGGACTACACAGCGTTGCGTCAGCATATGCAGCGTCGCCATTCGGTGGCCTGGGAAAACCGTGATAAAGATACGGCGGTTCTGCCTGCCCCAGCCCCCGCTCCATCACCCGCTCCGTTACTTGCTCCGTCACCCGACGTCAATCGCCCTCTATATCAGCCAGTCAAGGCTCCAACACCTCTGCTGAGGGGAGTTGTCGCTCGTTGGCATCTTCCGCTCGTTCAGATGCTCCTTCTCCTGCTACTCCTCTTCACGGATTCCGTCAGCAGTCTTTCTTGGAATCCGTTTCCAAGAGACAACAGTTTGCGAGCACGCACCCGACGGTGCAGAAGCTGAACGTCCTCCTGTCCAAGTTGCTGGTGCTGCAGTCCCTCCCTTTCCAAGTGGTGGACTCAGCACCTTTCCGAGAAATGATGGCTTGTGCCGAGCCGCGGTGGAGAGTGCCAAGCCGGCATTTCTTCGCCAAAAAGGCAGTGCCAGCCCTGCATTCACATGTAGAAGAGATGGTGGGCCAGTCTTTGAGCATGTCGGTCTCTGCCAAAGTGCACGGCAGCGCCGACGTGTGGAGCTGTAACTACGGTCAGGGACAGTACATGTCATTTACGGCCCACTGGGTGAACGTGGTGCCGGCACAGCCGCACCAGCAACTTGGACAGGTCACGCCGCTTTTGCCTCCACGTTTGCACGTCCTTGGTCCAGCAAAGATGTCCGCCTCTACCACCTCTTCTTCCGCCGTGTCCTCAGCCGCCACCCCCCGTGTGCCAAGTCCCATTACCCGACCGGCATATCACATGTGCAGGGCGCAACGGTGTCACGCTGTGCTGCACCTGGTATGCCTTGGCGAACGTAGTCACACAGGGGAGGAACTTCTGAGTGTAATGAACAGAGAAATCGACAGATGGCTGTCTCCGCGCAAACTGAAAATCGGAACCATGTTGACCGACAACGGAAAGAACATGGTGTCTGCTCTGCGTCAAGGAAGGTTGTGCCATGCGCCATGCATGCTCACGTGTTCAATCTGGTTGTCAAGCGGTTCCTAAAATCCACCATCCCACTGCAAGACATCCTTAAAATGTCACGTAAACTTTGCATGCATTTCAGCCATTCCTACACCGCAAAGCACACCCTCCTTGAGCTGCAGCGGCAGAACGGAATTCCACAGCATCGCCTGATCTGCGACGTTGCAACAAGGTGGAATTCAACCCTACATATGTTAGACCGCCTTTACGAACAGCGAAAGGCCATCACCGATTTCCTGATGTTACAAGCGGATAAAGGTACTCCCCTGTGTAACTTAGATGTCAGCCATTGGCAGCTCATGCGTGACACCTGCCGCTTGCTCAGGCCCTTTGAGGAGGCCACGCTATTCGTGAGTCGGCAGGACTATGGGATGAACGACGTCATTCCTCTGTTGCACGTCCTGGAACAAATGCTGTTAACAATGGCTGGTCAGGGTGCGGTAGACGTGGCGCACAGATCTCAACGCCACATGACCCCTGTGGGGGCAGGACAGGAAGAAGAGGAGGAGGTAGAGGAGGACATTGGTGCTCAGGAATTATTGAGTGAAATGGGTGGTTTTTCCACTCAGCGGACAGGAGTGGAGGAGCAGGAGCATCTGGTAGAGGAGGAGGAGGAGGAGACAGAGGACCCAGACGCACCGTGGCAGTATGCTGTGGAGATGGAGGCAGGGAGTCCCTCGCATTCCTTGGCACAAATGGCCCATAGCATGCTCGCTTGCTTGCGTAGCGACAGCCGAATAATAACCATCAGACAGAGGGATGACTTTTGGCTGTCCACCTTGTTGGACCCTCGCTACCGTTCAAAAATGGTGGCCTTTTTCACACCTGCTGAGAGGGAGGCCAAAATAACGTACTATAAAAAAACCACCTATGTAGTCAGTTGGTCTCTGCCTTTCTGCGCCAACGTCCATCCTCAGACACTGTGGGCCCTGTGCGTTCTCGCGTTCCGCTGCCATGGCAGCAGGGGAGGGGTGGGGTGGTAGGAGCAGTGGCAGCTCCACCAGCAGCGGCTGCCTCAGTCTGCAGTCGATGATGAGTAGCTTTCTTCACCAGCGCAGTGAGGAAACTACTAACCAGCCGCAGCAGCATCAGGTGACCTGGAGCAGGACCTCAAACAACAGGCTTGGGCCTACTTGGACAGCACCCTGCCAAACCGAGGTAGACAATCCCCTTGACTACTGGGCAACGAAACTTGACCTTTGGCCCCAACTAGCTGAATTTGCCCTTGAAAGGCTGTCATGCCCGGCCAGTAGCGTGGCATCGGAGCGCGTGTGTTTAGTGCGGCAGGAGGTATTGTAACTCCGCGGAGGACACGACTGTCCACCCAAAGTGTGGAGAGACTCACGTTTGTGAAAATGAATCAGGCGTGGATTAGTCTGGATTTCAAACCACCAGTTCCTGACACAACTGACTAAATCCGCCATGAATCATGCCCCAAACATGTTATTATTTTTAACATAGGCCTCTGTATGGCCTTCAATTTAAGCTGCTTACGCTTCGCCCACTCTGCCATGGGCCCCTGTACCGCCTCCTCTTGCTGCTGCCAGGTCCAGAGTGTGTCATGGGTCCCTGTACGGCCTCCCATTGCTGCTGTCTCCATCGCCACACTCTGCCATGTGCCACTTTCAGGTCTCCTCACACTGCTGGTGTGTTCCATTTTGTCATAGGGTGCTGGCAGATTACGGGCCTCCCATTGCTGCTGCCAGGCCCGTAATCTGCCATGGGCCCCCGTACCGACTCCTCATGCTGCTGCCAGGCCCGTAATCTGTCATGGGCCCCTGTACCGCCTCCTCATGCTGCTGCCAGGTCCAGAGTGTGTCATGGGTCCCTGTACGGCCTCCCATTGCTGCTGCCAGGCCCGTAATCTGCCATGGGCCCCCGTACCGACTCCTCATGCTGCTGCCAGGCCCGTAATCTGTCATGGGCCCCTGTACCGCCTCCTCATGCTGCTGCCAGGTCCAGAGTGTGTGTCATGGGTCCCTGTACGGCCTCCCATTGCTGCTGTCTCCATCGCCACACTCTGCCATGTGCCACTTCCAGGTCTCCTCACACTGCTGGTGGGTTCCATTTTGTCATAGGGTGCTGGCAGATTACGGCCTCCCATTGCTGCTGCCAGGCCCGTAATCTGCCATGGGCCCCCGTACCGACTCCTCATGCTGCTGCAGGCCCGTAATCTGTCATGGGCCCCTGTACCGCCTCCTCATGCTGCTGCCAGGTCCAGAGTGTGTCATGGGTCCCTGTACGGCCTCCCATTGCTGCTGTCTCCATCGCCACACTCTCTGCCATGTGCCACTTTCAGGTCTCCTCACACTGCTGGTGGGTTCCATTTTGTCATAGGGTGCTGTATGGCCTTCCATTGCTGCTGCCAGGCCCGTAATCTGCCATGGGCCCCCGTACCGACTCCTCATGCTGCTGCCAGGCCCGTAATCTGTCATGGGCCCCTGTACCGCCTCCTCATGCTGCTGCCAGGTCCAGAGTGTGTCATGGGTCCCTGTACGGCCTCCCATTGCTGCTGTCTCCATCGCCACACTCTGCCATGTGCCACTTTCAGGTCTCCTCACACTGCTGGTGGGTTGCATTTTTTCATAGGGTGCTGTATGGCCTCCCATTGCTGCTGCCTCCACCGCCCACACTGTGGCTCCACACTCTGGTTTTGGCCCCGTGACTGCCCAAATGAGTGAAGTGTGCGGTGATTCTAAGATCGACGGCACTCATCTGCATGTCATACTGACTGACAGTATTATTTCTCTTCCCCAGCAGACTCCAAGGGCATTTAAATTAAAGGTACAGTGTTCTGCACTAATATAAAGGCTCTCTGAAGCCTAGAAACACCCTTTTTATAAGTTAAATTCGCAGCGAATATATTCGACTCGAATCGAATTTATTCCGCGAATTCGCCGAATCAGCCGAATCGAATTTTTGAATAATTCGCTCATCTCTATTTGTAATAACTTGATTTCTTCCTTTTTTAAAGTTTTTTTTTTTAACATTCTTTATCATTCATATAGTATTGGTACATTTAGGTCCCATTTACATCTGGGCATAGCAGTTTCTGGCAGGTTTCTTGAAATGCACAAAAAGCAAACTAAAACTGTGACGCGGTTTGCAGTGTCATTATGTCTTATTGGCAAACCAAACGCGGGTAGCAGTCGCTCATTTTTGCTGTGCATTTTCCGTGTGCCAAATGAGTGAAAAAGCACAAAAACGCTTACTGAAAAAACATACTTGGCTCACTGCCAAAATTTGGTGCATGAGCTTCTTTAGCATATTTTTGGAGCATAAGGAGGCCCATTCAAATGAATGATGATGCTCCAAAAATACCCTATAAAAATGCACAAAGTGCTAATAACACACATTGTCTTTCGATTTTTCATTGCTCTCCTTTTCTGCTGTCTCTTGAAGTCATTCATTTAATTCTAGATATGTTATTCACATTAGGACTTTACTTGCTACAGTATTTGTTTAAAGTTTTGAGTTTTGTGTAAATTATTTTAAAACTTCCCATTTGGTTTCTATTTAACACCTTTGATGTGTACAAGACTAAGTACGTTTCTACGCTGTTTAAACTTGACTTTCTAGAAGTTTTATAGTTTCTGCAGAACCTTGTCAAACTCTTTATTCAACACCAATTCAAATGTTACTATAGTGTGGTCATTGTTGTTCATATATTCCTGTATATGTAATATGGCATTTGGCCAAATAGCAGTGCTTCTCATTCAGTTGATTCAACTGCCATTTTTATAAGGTGTTCATTTTGTAAAGTCATAAAAAATGTATAACTTGCAGCACGAAGACATTATATAATACATCATTTTGGATTGTCCAGAGCTTTTGGGACAAAGTGAATGATGTCAATTAACCATTTCAATACCAGGCACTTTTACCCCCTTCCTGGCCAGGCCAATTTTCAGCTTTCAACACCTTGCACTTTGAATGCAAATGCTGTAACCAAACTAAATTTTTATCATTTTGTTTACATAAATAGAGTTTTCTTTTTGTGGTATTTAATCAGAACTGGTTTTTGCAAAATAAAAAAAACCGACCAAAGTTTTTCTTTGTCTCTGTTATAAAATTTAGCAAATAAATAATTGTTCTTCATAAATTTAGGCCAAAATGTATTCAGGTACATTTCTTTGATGAAAATAACCCAAATTAGTGTTTATTATTTAGTCTATAGGAACATTATAGAGCCCACAAACTATGGCATATATCTAATATATTTTATATAGATATAAATCGATCAATACTGACGTACTGACGGCCGATCAAATTTCTTGAGGCCCAAAAATGTCAGGACAGTACCGATATCCCCAAATGACCTAGTTTTGGAAAATAGACAGTGTGATGTATTTAATAAGAGGCTTGTTCAGTTTTTTGAAGTTGTAATTTTTTTGTCATAATTTTTTGGACAATGAAGAAATCAAATGCAGTACAGCGTCATCATATACACTATATTGCCAAAAGTATTGGGACACCCCTCCAAATCACTGGATTCAGGTGTTCCAATCACTTCCATAGCCACAGGTGTAAAAAATCAAGCACATAGGCATGCAGACTGCTTCTACAGACATTTGTGAAAGAATGGGTCGCTCTCAGGAGCTCAGTGAATTCAAGCGTGGTACCGTGATAGGTTGCCACCTGTGCAATAAGTCCATCCGTGAAATGTCCTTGCTACTAAATAATCCACGGTCAACTGTTAGTGGTATTATAACAAAGTGGAAGCAACTGGGAACAACAGCAATTCAGTCACAAAGTGGTAGGAAACGTACAGTAAAATGACAGGGTGGAGCAGGGGCAGACTGACAACTCATGGGGCCTTCGGGCAATAGGGGATCATGGGGCCCCTGTGTCCTTGCCCAAACTCAAAAAAGCCTATGAAAAAGGTACCAGGGGCATCTCATGGCTCCCCCTACTGACCCCGAGCCCTCGGGCAGTGCCTGATTTTCCAAATGGTCAGTCCACCCCGGGGCGGAGTCAACGCACAGAGCTTCATGGATTGGGTTCCCATGGCCGTGCAGGTGCATCTAAGCCTTACATCACCAAGTGCAATGCAAAGCGTTGGATGCAGTGGTGTAAAGCACGCCACCACTGGACTCTAGAGCAATAGAGTTGTATTCTCTGGAGTGATGAATGACGCTTCTCTGTCTAGCAATCTGATGGACGTCTCTGGGTTTGGCAGTTGCCAGGACAACGGTACTTGTCTGACTTCATTGTACCAAGTGTAAAGTTCGGTGGAGGGAGGATTATGGTGTGGGGTTGTTTTTCAGGGGTGGGGCTTGGCCCCTTAGTTCCAGTGAAGGGAACTCTGAAGGAGACAGCATACCAAGACATTTTGGACAATTTCATGTTCCCAACTTTGTGGGAACAGTTTGGGGATACCCCCTTCCTGTTCCAACATGACTGTGCACCAATGCAAAAAGCAAGGTCCATAAAGACATGGATGGGCAAGTTTGGGGTGGAGGAACTTGACTGGCCTGCACACCTTTTGGGATGAATTAGAGTAGAGACTGCGAGCCAGGCGAGCCAGGCCTTCTCTTCTGACATCAGTGCCTGACCTCACAAATGCACTTCTGTAAGAATGGTCAAACATTCCCATAGACACACTCCTAAACCTTGTGGACAGCCTTCTCAGAAGAGTTGAAGCTGTTATAGCTGCAGAGGGTGGGCCAACTCAATATTACACCCTACGGACTAAGACTGGGATGCCATTAAAGTTCATGGGCGTGTAAAGGCAAGAATCCTAATACTTTTGGCAATATAGTGTAACTGGTGTGGTGGTGGTCAGAGACACTGACTGGTGACAGTACAAAAAAAAAATATAATAGTTTACTACTTTGGGGAAGTGATCAGTATTTTTTTTGCACATTATAATTGCTTATAGCAAAAAATTTCATTGCTATAAGCAAGCATTTAACTGAATGAAATCGATTTATTCAGTTTTTTTTTTGTGATTAGCTGTGATTGGCCACAGCTAATTACGTGACAGAGATGGGCTTTGACCAATCACAGCTAGCAGCACAATTGGATTCAATGGATGGCATGAAAGGAAGCCATCCATTATTTACAATTGTCATGTGACCTGCTGTGATTGGTCAAAGAGGTCACATGTACTGGCAATGAGCCAATACACAGATCTGACAATGGCTGTGTCCAATGGACACTGGACACAGCCAGTAACAGATCTCACTGCAGTGTGGGAGTCATATGACACCCACCTGGATCGACGAAAATCCCACTTGGCCATCAATTTGCTATTGGCCCGGCAGGAACTGGTTAAAAATGGTAATTAAGTCTGCTATATATTTTTTTTTTTTAATGGACCCCAAGTGCACCACATATTAGCACATTATGACAGACTTCCCTACCAAAGAACCCTCCAGATCTGCTGTATAATCGATCCAGCGGGCCCTGGGCACTTCCATCTTTGCCCAGTCTTCTTTCAGGGTTCCATTCCTTCACCTGCATGAATAACCGGGCCGCGATTACATCACTTTCACGCACAGGAGTCACATCGCTGTAACAGACTGGAAAATGTACCCTGAGCTGCTTGTGCGTGGCTCAGTTTACATGACAGCTGACAGGCAGGAGGAAGCTGCTATGACAAAAGAGACCGATAGAGATCTTCTGTCATAAATACCTTACCTGTCAGCAATGATTTTAAAAAACTAAGTTTACTACTACATAAGAGAGAATCCTGCAGCTTGCTCCCTCTATTTGAATCCTATTCCCAAAAGCTGGCATAAATGATCCCTGCTGATTCAATCATACAAGGTTGCAAGGGTATGTTATCTATTGCAATGGAAACAAACAACAGCTTTTTCTCTTGAGTCTTTGCAAAAAACAACAAAAAACTATGGCCAAACTTACATTTGCTGTAAATAAATAAATAAGATAAAATGGAAGACCTGTTTCATAGAATGTTATCTGAGTTTCCATTTTGCCCAAGAGTACCATCACCTGTTAGCATCTGATCCTTGATTGGCTTTTTCCAGTCTCACCATGAGTGATCTTCTATCCTCTCCTTTTATTTTTTTATTTTTTTTATCTATTTTTTGTTTTCTCTCTTCTCCCCCCTTTCTCTCTAATATTGCTTGTTCCTCTCTTCTTTCCTCCCTGATTTCATGTTCTCACTTTCAACATCTTTTTGAAATTCTGTATCCCAACCCACTGCCTATCTAAAGTAAAATACCACAGTTACTTTTATGTCTCTTTACACACCTGGAAGTTTGAAGAGACTTCCATTGCAGTGTGCTTGCCAGTGATTGCCAGGACATGTGTTCTGATTTCATGCTGTTTTATTCGATTATACTTGGTGCTTTTATGCCCCATTATTGCTTATATCAAATGCTTCTTCTATGTGATATTGGATGTATTCATGATATTGGAATAACTAAATAAATAATTCTTTAAAATTAGGACTGCATTTCTACTTGCTGCTTTTTTTTTTAAGTGTTAGCATGATTTAGGTAAGGCGGCTTATAAAAACCCCACTTAGGACATTACAGAAATTCAGTCTCCAAACACAGAAAGGGTTCTTCACAGTGAGAGCTGTGAAATTGTGTAATAGACTCCTTCAAGAGTTGGTTCTGGCCAGCTCAATGGATTGCTTTAAAAAAGGCCTTTATTCTTTCTTAGATACACAGAATATAACTGAATACTAACATTTATAGGTAAAGTTGATCCAGGGAATATCCGATTGCCTCTCGGGGGATCAGGAAGGAACCTTTTTTTCCCTGCAGGAGCAAATTGGATCATGCTTTGCTGGTTTTTTTTGCCTTCCTCTGGATCAACTGTGGGTATAGTATTAT